GTGGGGCACACAATCTGATGCTGCAGCTGCAACGTGTGAGGCACGATATGACTGCTGTGAAGGATGAGTTGGAAGAACTGCAGCTGAAATGTACGAAACTGGAGAGGCAGACAGCTGCAGAGGAAAACCGATTAGAAGCCATCATGCTTGAGAAGAAGGCACTCCAATGGTATATTCATGCTTATGGACAAGATGTCTGAGGATTTTATTTTTTTGTGTTATCGACCTTTTTGTTTTATATATTTTCTTCTGAAAGTAAATAATCATTCTTCTGCTTATTTTATCGTTGTTGCTATTTGTTATAACTCTCTTGTATTCATGGGGGATGCCGTTATTTTCTGTTATTTCTTTTTTATTGATTCTTCGTTTTTGCATTGAAATAAAGTAAGACACAATAAGAATTATTGTAATTGTGATGATGATACGCTACGTGTTGTGTGTTATGCTTCTTGCACTTTGTTGTACTTGCAGTTTTGTGTTGGCTGCTGGTACTGAAACTGAAGCGGTTTTAACTCAACCAGTGGGTGGTGAAGTGGAAGAAACATCTGGACAATGTGTTGGGGAACAAAGTAAGGAGGAATCTTGCAAAGCACATTCATCGCAGAAAGTGCCTCCAGAAGATACTCAAAAGCACGGAAAAAAACCTGAAGCTGTTGCACTTCCACCACACGAAACATCAGTGGAACGCAGTCCAACTTCTCCATCAGGTTCTGGTGCTTCTGTTGGTCCTGCTAGTTCCTCTTTACGAACCACTGAAGATCTACATAATCAGCAGGAAGAAAGTAAAGAGAACATAAAGGGGAACCTACCAGTTAAGGAAGTGAGAGAAAGCGATGAAAACGTGGCTAGCGATGGTCCCAAGGAGCATCCTTCCAATGAAGAAAGTTCACTTAACCTTCGTACAATACAACACCACGATGGATCGGACCAGGTATCGGAAAATGCACAGAGCTCTACTACAGAAACTGCTGCGCAAGGTGAGAACGAGGCAGACAACAGTAATGTCTCAACGACTCCGGGAGGTACTGACACACCATCTGATCTTGTCAATGGTACTAAACCTGAAGAAGGTGGGTCACCAAGTAATCAAGAAAGTGATGTGAGAAATACAGAAACCACCACCACCACCACCACCACAACCACAACAACACTTCCTCCTGAACTCACAAACAACAAGAAGGGTGATGCCGACAGCAGCAGCAGTATCAGCAGTTCTGTGTGGGTGCGTGTACCACTACTGATTGTGGTTACACTGGCCTGTATTCTTGTGTGCTGATTGTAGTNTGCTGGACAGCCAAAGGCGGTGATGGCGTTTTTGGAAGACTTTCCTTACACTTCTACAAACGATAACGATACTGTATACGTTTTAAACCTGAATGGAGGTAATAATATTAGTGATTATATTCCTGTAGGAAATGTAACTTCAACAAAAGTTCTTGGTAATCATATGCAGCCAACGGTTTCGGGCCGACAGGATGCCGATAGCGCGGCACAACAGCTGAAGAATCATGTTACTGAATCTTCTACACAGGTCCACCAACCTTCACAAACAAGTGCGCCGAAAACACAGGATTAAGGTGTTGAAAATTCAGATCTAAGGGTTGCAGCAACCACGGTTTTACCCCATTCTAATGAAGCCCATAAGGCAGATTCAGATGCAGATTCTATGCAAAATAAGCCTTCTGGTAATAAGGATCTTCATCCGGTTAGCAGAGATAAGGAGATAAGTGAAGAAATGAATGCAAAAGAACCATCGAGTATACGCGAGGAGACGTCTGATGGAACACTCCTCCCCACTAACAGTTCTGGTGCAGAAACACAGCTGCCCGCAACTTCTACTACAGGGACACACTCACCTCAAGGTGTTGACTCCAATCAAAACACTCCACACGATGAGTCTGAAAGTTCCACAAAAGGTAATGAAGACAGTTCGAGTAATCGGCCTGTTGAACCTCCTGCCCCTGCTGCTGCACCTCCTACTGCTCCCAAGGGTAGTGTTGATCCAACAGGTAAAAATAATGCTGAGCGACGAGTCATCGGTGCCCCCGGTGAGCAAGTATCTCCGAATACTGTAGATAAAGGAGATTCTAATGATGGTGCTGGTAGTGTTAAACTTCCTTCAAGTGAACCTGAAAATGGAAGCGGTGAACAAAGAACAACAGGTGAAAGTGCAGGGAAAGCGGAAGGTGCAGAAGCAGAACCTACTCCTTCTCCAACCAATTCAACCCAAGAAAGTGTTGGTGATAATAATGCAAACGCTGTGAATGGCACTAAACCTGCAGAAGGTGGGTCACCAAGTAATCAAGAAAGTGTGGGAAATACAGAAACCACCACCACCAC